CCAACCCCCACTTGTTCCCCAACCGCCGCCGCTGCTCTTTGAAGAATCCGCAACTGCGGCCCGTGTTTCCTCTTCCGCTTTGTCATCCCACCCTGCACGCATCTCTGCCCCGACTGCAGGCCGCGGAGGCGGGCGCGAACCCGCCCAACCGCCGTGAAACCTACCGTCGGCGCGGGCTTGAGCCGAACGTGCATGGAGGAGGAGGATGAGGAGGAGGAGGGTGAATGTGAGGAGGATGATGCGTTCCTGGGAGGTGTGCCTTCGCGTGCAACACAAGAGCCCTGAGAATTCCTGAGGCCCCTCCAACAGCCAAGGACGCGGATGACAAGAAAGTCGAGAAGATTGGGACCCGATTGAGGATTAAGAGGCGTGCGACGAAAGGGATGATGATGACGAAGAGGAAGATCAGTGAAGGGGAGGAGCGGACAGGAATTATGGAGGAGTGATCGCAGAGGAGGAAGAGGGGGAAGGGGGAGGAGGAGGAGGAGGAGGAGGAGGGAGAGGAAAAGGGGGAGGAGGAGGAGGAGGAAGAAGGGGAGGAGGAGGAGGAGGAGGAGGAGGAGGAGGAGGAAGAGGAGGAGGAGGAGGAGGAGGAGGAGGAGGAGGAAGAGGAGGAGGACGACGACGACGAGGAGGAGGAGGAGGAGGAGAGGGAGAAGGAGAACGGGGACAGGAGGACAAGGACGGAGACATATAACAAATGAGGGGGAGGAGGCGGAGGAGGAGGAGGACGAGGAGGAGAAGCAGGAAGAGGAGGAGGAGAGGGGGGAGGAAGAGTGCGCGTGAGACTGGGAGAACGAGGTAATTAATTAGAGAGTGAACGGGGGAGGAGGGAGGACAAGGAAGAGCATACAGCGACGAGAAGAGGAGAAGGAACAGACGAAGGCTCCTGCTGATCGCATTTCCGCATCGTTCAAAGCTGTGCCGGGGCACTGCTTTGAACGACTGGTGATGTTCAAAGCAGTTCCCCGGCACTGTGTTCCATCGTCGCCGTTATAAGGGCTATTGGATTACCGACACGTCTGGGGGTGCGGCAGAGAAAAGATGGTTGAGAAAACGAGAGGGAGGGAGGAGGGAGGCCGGACGACGGGGAGGGAGGATGAGAAGGAGGAGAAGGAGGAGGAGAGAAAAGAAGAAACATAAGAAAAAGGAGGGAGGAGGAGGAATGACGGGGGAGAAGGAGAAGGGAGGAGAGTGGACGAGGAGGAGGAAGAGGGAGGAGGAAGAGGAGGGACGATGAGGAGGGAGCAGGAGGAGAAAGATGAGGGTGGCAGCGTGATGAACAACCTCATGAGCTGCCCTGGGCAGGGGCGAGGAGGGGGAGCAGGAGGAGGAGAGGGGGGGGGCAGGCCTGGAAGCGACACCAGGTGGAAGGAGGAAGCATGGAGGGGGAGGGGCAAAAAACAATGGGGGTAGGAAAAAGGGGAGAAGGGTCAGGAGCAGGATGAAGAGGGAGGAAGTGGGAGGAAGGAGGAACGATTAAAGAGGAAAGCGGACGGGACACGAAGGAGAAGGGGGCAGGAGTGCGCGTTGGAGGGAAAAAGAGGTCCTCCTCCTCAGGAGGGGAGGAGGAGGAGTAAAAGGAGGATGAGGATGAAGGGGAGGAGGACAAGGAGGACGAGGAGGATGACGAGGAAGAGGAGAGGGGATAGACGAAGGACGAATACGAGGAGGACAAGGACGGGGTAAGAAAGCTGTGGATGTGTTGAGGCGGAGGGGGGTATGGAGGGAGGGAGGAAGGGAGGCAGGAGAACGGGAGGGAGGTGGGCAGGAGAGAGGCAGCACGATACAGAGTCTCTGCCGGGAGGGCGGATGGAAAGGGGAAGGGCGGAAGGAGGCGGGCCAGGATGAAGAGTTAGGAGGGAGGGGACAGGGCGGGAGGAGGGAGCAGGGAGTTGGAGGAGGGTGAGGAGCGAAAAGGAGGAGGAGCAGCAGCAGCAGCAGGAGCATGAGGCGAAAGGAAGCGGGAGAAGGAAGACGAGGGAGGAGGGAGGAGAGGAGCAGGAAAACGAGCGAGGAAAAAGAGGAAGGAGGAACCAGGAGGAAAGGAGGGAGAGAGGGAAGGAGGGGCGAGGAGGAAGAGGAGGGAGGAAGGGGAGGAAGGGAGTGGAGGGAAGGGGAAGCTGGAGGAGAATCAATGAAGAGGAGGCAGGAAGAGGAGGGAAGGAGGAAGGGAGGGAGGGAGGGCGGGAGGCTGCCCACTCTCCGGAGAGGAGGCAGGAAGGGAGGGATGTGTTCAAGCGTTTCACGACACCTGTATTCACAGGGGCCTTGCCAGGGGTCTGTGGAGGCCCCCCACTCTCACGAAGCCCGGAAGGCACAAAATCCTCCAAGACCTCAAGGCTCCTCCCCCTCTTCCTCCTCCTCTTTCTCCTCCTCGCTCCTCCTCCTCATCCTCCTCCTCCTCCTTCTCCTCCTACTCATCCTCATCCCTCCTCCTCCCTCCTCCCTGCTCTTCCCTCCTCACTCCTCCCTCCTCCCTCCTGCCTCCTCCGTCTCTAAGTAAGCATCATCAACATCAGCATCAGCATCAGCAACAGCATCAGCATCGTCGGCATCCTCACCATCATCACCACTAGCATCACCATCATCATCATCATCATCATCATCATCAGCATCATCATCATCATCATCATCATCACCATCACCATCATCACCATCATCATCATCATCATCATCATCATCATCACCATCATCATCATCATCATCATCATCATCATCATCATCATCATCATCATCATCATTGTCGTCGTCGTCATCAGCAGCAGCATCATCAGCATCAGCATCATCACCATCAGCGTCATCATCATCGTCAGCATCAGCAGCATAATCATCAGCAGCAGCAGCATCGGCATCATCATCATCATCATCATCATCAGCATCATCATCAGCATCATCCTCATCCTCATCCTCATCATCATCATCATATTCATGAGCATCATCAGCATCATCACCAGTAGTATCATCATCGTTATCAGCATCATCAGCAGCATAATCATCATCAGCATCAGCATCACCATCCTCATCATCGTCACCATCATCAGCATCATCATAAGCACATTCATCACCAGCAGTCTCAGCATCATCATGATTAAGATCAACATCACCACCATCATCATCGCCATCATCAGCGTCATCACCACCATCATCAGCAGCAGCATCATCATCAGCGTCATCATCATCATCATCATCATCATCATCATCATCACCATCATCATCATCATCTTCAGTCTCATCACCATTATCATCATCAACCACATCAGCATCATCATCGTCCGCATCATCAGCAGCATCGCCCGCATCAGCGTCATCACCATCATCACTAGCATAATCGGCATGCTCAGCATCGTCGTCGTCATCATCATCAGCATCCTCATCAGCATCACCACCACCACCATCACCACCCTCAGTGCTCAGCATCACCACCACCAGCATCGCCACCAGCATCACCACCACCATCATCGTGCTCAGCATCAGCAGCATCTCAATCACCATCACCACCAACACCAACAACAACAACGCCAGCAATTGAACCATCAGTAGCATCGTCAGCATTATCATACTCGTCACTGTCATCATCAGCATCACCATCACCATCAGCATGCTCATCAGCCGCAGCATCATCAGCATCAGCATCAGCATCAGCATCAGCAGCAGCATCCTCAACAGCAACATTATCATCAGCAGCATCGTCAGCAGCAGTATCAGCATCCGCATGGACATCATCATCAGCATCAGGACAGTATGCATCATCACCATCATCATCAGCAGCATCAGCATCATCATCACCATCATCATCAGCATCATTATCATCATCATCATCATCATCATCATCATCATCATCATCACCATCCACATCATAATCGGCACCGTCCGCAACACCATCATCAGCCACATCAGCATCACAAACATCATCAACATAAGCATCAACGTGGTCAGCACCGTCATTCGAAGCATCAGCAGCATCAGCATCAGCATCATCAGCACCATCATCATTATCACCAGCAGCGGCAGCATCAGCATCGTCATCATCATTATCATCAGCATCATCATCATCATCACCATATTTAGCAACCTCATCATCAGCATCATCATCAGCAGCATCGACAACATCATCATCAGCAGCAGCATCATCAATATCATCAGCATCATCGGCATCCGAATCGCCAGCATCATCATCATTATTATTATCATCACCAGTATCAGCATAAGCACCAGCACCAGCATCGCCACCATCGTCAGCATCATCAATAGAAGCATCGCCACTTCCAGTATCATTAGCAATATCAACATCACCATCGGCATCGTCATCATCATCCGCAATATCGTCCGCATCCGCATCCGCATCCTCATCCTCATCCTCACCATCATCATCACACTCGGTCTTGGCGACGCCCACCATGAATGCCACCATGGTCTGGGGCTTCAAAGAAGGCACGGGGGGCTTCTGGGAAGACTGCTTGCAGGCTTCGAAGGCCTTCTACGAAGACCCCTACCTGTTAACAAGCCACCCGCCTTCTGAGGGGCCCCTCCCGCCAAGCCCTCCTTCCTCCCCCCTCCAATCGCTAAGACGTTCAATCCCTTTGCTCCTCCACCCTCCTCCTCCTCCTCCTCCTCGTCCTCCTCGTGATCTTCCTCCTCCCCCCCCACCTCCTCTTCCCCGCGGGACCGGACCCCCTTATCAGTCAGGCAAAGGGTATGGGCCACCAAATCGTGGTCCGTGTTTCCCATGTGTTCTGAAAGCGCTGCTCCTGCTACGCAACCGCGCGTTGCCTGCCTGGCACTTGAGCGGCGTTGTGATCCACCGAGATCCAGGACTCTCGGAGGGAGAGGCTAACCAGCTTTCGGGACGGACGTCACCCGACCACAGGCCAAGCCCTCTAGTGCAGCCTGCCCCTATAACTCGAGAGGGCCGTGTATGGGTAGTGTGCACCACCCGTCAGGGCCCCTTACCCGCCTCCTCCACCTCCTCCTCCGCCTCCTCCTCCTCCTCTTCCCACCTGGCCCTCCTCGAACAGGCTGCGCCAGACCCAGGAGAGGTGGGCCGGCTCGTCGAGCTCCGCTGGCGGCGGCGCCGCCCCAGCCATGCCGCTCGCGGAGCCCCCGGCCGACCGGTGAGGCGGCCCCCGACCACGGCCGCATCGGAGCTCGCATCAAAAGGCGGCTCGGGCCGATAAAACTGATCGTGTCAGGGCGGGGAGAGGTTCAGGAGGCGGACGAGGAGCATGGGGAGGAGGACGGGGAGGAGGGGGACAGAAGAGGATCTGAAGGAGAGAGCAGAATTCGAGAGCAGCAGGGGAGAAGCAGAGGGCGAGAACTGCAAAGGGAGAGGGGCTCCTCCTTCTCATCCTCGTCCTCACTGCTCCTTCCAGCTCATCCCTGCTCCTCCCTGCTCACTAGCCTCCTGAGGACGAGGGGTAGGGACAGAGAGTGTTCCTCCACCTCTTCCTCCTCCTCCTCCCTCCTCCTCCCTCCTCCCTCCTCCTCCTCCTCGTCCTCCTGTTCGACGTCCTCATCCTCATTATGCTCTTCCTCCTCCTGTCTCCTCCTCCTCCTTCCCCTCCTCCATATTCGAATCCCCTTTGTTCTCATTAAGACGGGGAAGAAAACGAAAAGGACGACGAGAGGGATACGCCTCATCTTTGGGGGAAGTTCAGGAGGGACCGGCTAAGGAGGGAAAGCATCGAGCTCGAATCGACGTTACATCACCGATAGATCGGCGATAGGCCCCCGGTAGCGAGGCCGCGCGGTCCTGGGCGAGGAAAGCTATCTGGCCCCTGGGCGATTGGGGGTCGATGCGCCCCCCCCCTAAGCCTACCTCCCCTCTCAACGTTGCCCCTGATCATCCAATTCCACCCCCCTCCACTAAAATTATCCTGGCCAATGGCCCAAGCGAATACAAGAAGGCACGTAGGTCGAAGAAAGGGAAACTCCCGATGCGACCAAAACACGTGTGAGTGGCGTGCCAAAATGGGGCGGTCTGCCATGCGGATCCTGCCTCTGAGACCGTCAGTGGACGGTGGAGCTCTCGGTGGGGCCATTAAACTTGTGAGAGGCGTGCCGAAAGGTACCGTATGCGAAACCTGCCACTGAGGCACTCGATGCAGCTCTCCGTGGGCCCACGAAGCGAGTGCGAGAGAGTGCCGAACTGGAAGCGGGCACCACATGCCAACCCTGTCCCTTACCTTCCCCGGGTGGATCTCCCTGTGGGGCAACGAAACGTGTGAGAGGTGTGCCGAAATGGAGGCGAGTACCGCATGTAAACCCTGCCTCTGGGGCCTTCGGCGAACCCTGCAACTGAGGGGCTTCGGTGCAGCTTCCTCTGGGGCCACGAAGCGAATGAGGAGTGTCGGAATTACCGCCTGCGAATCCTGCCAATGGGGCCTGAATGGAGCTTCCTGTGGAAAAAGAAACGTGTGAGAGGTGTGCCGAAATTCAGGCGGGTACCGTATGCGAACCCTGACACTGGGGCCCCCTCGGTGGAGATCCCTATAGGGCCACGAAACGTGCAAAGGGCGTACTGAAATGGACATGCGGAAAGCAGAGGAAGGAGGGAGAGGAGAGGGAAGGAGTGGACGCGGGGCGTTGTCTCTTCAAAGCCAACACGTGGAATCACATAATCAGAGTGAGGGGGCCGAACGGTCATTCACTGTCCCTGGGTGCGTGGCTGAAGTGGGATTCAGCGGTGCGGATTCGTGCTGTTGTTGTTGTTGTTGTTTGTTGTTGTTTGTTGTTGTTGTTTGTTGTCGTCGTCCCACCCGCAACCCGCCCCGCGACCCACCCGCGACCCACCCCACGACCCACCCGCGACCCACCCGCGACCCACCCGCGACTCACCTCCGCGACCCACACCCCCGCGACCCATACCCCAACGACCCACTCCCCCGCGACCCACGTCCCGCCCCGCTACCACCACGCGACCCACCCCGCGAACCCATACCCGTCGAACCCCACCCCACGACCCAGCCCCCGCGACCCCACCCGCGACCCACCCTCGACCCCCCCCGCGACCCCACCACCCCGACCCGCCCCGAACCCACCCGCTACCGCGAAACCCACCCCGCGACCCACCCGCGACCCCCCCGCGACCCACCCGCGACCCACCCGCGACCCACCCGCGACCTACCCCGCGACCCACCCGCGACCCACCTTCGACCCAAACCACGTTCAAGGTACAAACCAACATTTTCGGCGCCTGCGGCGAGCTTTTTTTGCATTCCTTCCAGGTAAAGAGCCCGCGACCCACCCCGCGACCAACTCGCGACCAACCCGCGACCCAAACCACATTCAGAGTACAAGCCACATTTTTCAGCGCCTGCGGCGGGCATCTTTTGCATTCGTTCTAGGTGGAGAGACCGCGGCCCACCCGCGACCACGTTCAGGGTACAAAACCACATGTTTTCGGCGCCTGCGGCGGCATCTTTTGGCAATTCGTTCAAGTGGAAGAACCCTCGGCCACCCGCGACCCCAAACCACGGTACAGTGTACAAACCACTTTTACGGCGCCTGCGGCGGCTGCTTTTGCAGAGGAGGAGGAATGAGGAAGAGGAGGAAGGGAGAAGAGGAGGAGGAAGGGACGACGACGACGACGACGACGACATTGACGACGACGACGACGACGACGGCGACGGCGGCGACGACGACGACAAGGAGGAGGGGGGAGGATCGGGAAGGGGGGAGAGGCGGAAAACGACGAGGAGGAACATGACGACAATGGGAGGGCGATGATGGAAGGACGAGGGGGAGAGAGGGAGGACGAGGAAGAAGAGGAGGAGGAGGACGAGGTGGAGGAGGAGGACGACGATGACGATGAGGACGAGGACGAGGAAAAGAAGGAGGAGGAGGATGCGGAGGAGGAGGAGGAGGAGGAAGAGGAGGAGAGCGCCATCGACAGGGAAGGTGGGGCCACGAGGTCCGCCGGCTTGACGACGCCCGCGTCGCCCGCGCCCGCCACCTCACTCTTATCCGCAATTGCGGGGTGCTACGTACGTTGAAATAAACAAGATTGGCACGGAACATGACCCTTCGGATGTGCACGCGGATTTCGTGGGTCGGCGCTGGACCCGACCAAGTAGCGCGGGGCATGCCAGGGGCGGCGCCAACACGACGCCAGGAGAGTCCGCGCCGATCTAAGAAATCCGCGCGAGCCTCCGAAACGTGGTCATGCCGAATGTGTGCTCTCGATCCTAGCCCCCTCCGACGACGAAGACGACGTCCACGACGACGCGCTGATGTTTCCTCGATCCCTGTTTCCTCAGACGAAGCTAGGACCAGGATAAATCCGGTCGGGACAAGTTGAGGACCTCTGAACTCTGGCGGTTCTGGAGGATATATCGGCGCCGCGGCCGTTCCAAAGCGCTCAAGAACGCACTGAGGGCATTTCGGAACGCTCTGGAGCGATTGATCCGAGTCCTGGGCCCGCCCAATTTCCTTCTGGTGCACGATGATTACCCTGATGCTTCCTCAGTCCTCGTCCCCCTCCATCGAACGACGACGTCGATGACGACGCACCGCCTGCGCTGCGCCGTACGCGATGGCGCCCACGGCCGCGGCCACGAGTAGCGGGGAGCCCCGCGCCCGATGCCGGCCTGCTGCGCACTCTGGACGCCGCCGCCGCCGCCGCCGTGGTCGCGGCCGCCGCCGCCGCCGCCGCCGTGGTCTTGGTCTTGGTCGTGGCAGCCGCCGTCGGCCATGGTCGCCGTGGTCGTGGTCACCTTCGCCTTCGCCGTCACCGTCACCGTTTTCACCATCGCCGTCGCCCTCATGACGGTCGCAGTCGCCGTCGTCATCGCCGTCGCGGTCCCCGCCGCTGCGCGGTCTCTGTCGTGGTTGCCTTGGCCGCCGCCGCCGCCTGGGCCCTCCCCCGGATCGAAGGGCTGGGCCTCCAGAGGGTCGAGGAGTCGAGGGTCAAGAGGTTCGAGGCTGGATGATCGAGGATTCGAGGATCGAGGTTCGAGGATGGAGGATTCGAGGGTCGAGGATTCGACGAGGTTCGAAGATTGAGGATTCGAGGGTCGAGGCTTCAAAGTTCGAGGATCGAAGATTCCGCGCGCGCACTGTGGAGGGCGCCGTGTGGCGCGATGTTGATGCAGGGGGGGGTCATATGTTTACCCACCTGCATGCCGAGACTGGTCCTGGGACTTGGTGTTGGTGGGCACGGCCGAACTTTGCTGGCCAGGGGGACACGTGCAACGGCCCTGGACTCTGGATTGGCCTGGCCAGGTGCAAAATGCAGGGTTGCGCCGCTCACGCGCACGCCAGAGCCTCCATATTTGGAGCCGCCAAGAGCCCCCTTGCATCCGCAGGTCCTCGAAAAGCCCATCGAGCCCTCCACTTCCCATCCCCCAGTCACACCCCCCCGTGGGCCTCGACGACGACAATGACGACGACGACGACGACGACGAAGAGGACGACGACGACCTCCGCCGACATCTGCCGACGGCTGTCTGAGGCCGACGCCGAAGGCCGCAGACCTCTCGGCCCCTTCCGCAGGGACGAAGCACACACACACATATATACTCCATTGCCCTCCGACGCGACAGTACGTGACGGCCAGCGGTGAAAAAGTCGCCCAGGGACACTGCCAAGACGATTGGCCCACATTATGGGACACGCGCACAACCCAAATCGTCCTCTATATATAGAGAGAGAGAGAGTGTGAGAGAGAGAGAGAGAGAGAGTCGAACGTACACGACCGCTGTAATGCGGAATACAAGTGAGGGGAAAGACACGCTTGTCCTCCGACGCGCCAGTGACCTCAACTAACAGAACACAGGGGGCCACGCTCAAGGCGAATTCCACCAGCCCTTTAGGGCGTAAGTGGTTTAGAGCGGTTCCCCTTCGAACCCCCTTGACCCCGCCAGCGGCAGAAGGTGCATGTGAGAAGTAGCTGCACTACTGCCCAGCACACACACACACACACTGAAACACACACACACACACACTGAAACAAACACACACACACACACACACACTGAAACACACTTGCAAACCAAGAGGGGTAACCAGGCGCCGATACAGCTACTCCCCGGACCTCTCCTGGGGCGATATCTGACAAAAATGCCACCAGCCCTTTGAGCTAAGGCGGTCTAGTGCCCCAAAAGCCTCTTCCCTTCAGGGAGGTTTACCTGCCCTCCCTCCCTGAGGCGTTTCCAGACCATCCTGTATCGTTGAGTCCTCGTTTTGAGG